ACTTGTATGGTGTTCATCCTTCTGTGTCTGTGGGAAAAGGGGGGTTCCTAAAGAGTAATTCAGTGATCATAGCAATCCCACAAAGACTAAGAGGGAGTTTAATGTACTATTTACATAGCATATGCAGTGTATTAGGCATTAAAAGTAATCTAGAGATGATTTCATAGTGACCCTATGTAGGGTTTCTGAGACTGGAAATCTTTACGAGAGCAGAAAGCTGCCTCTTTCTCCTGCACCACAGACTGGTGGGTTTGAACCACAACCTGGCGTTCACCAGTCCAGTGGTTACCTGACAACGGCAACTGAGTCCTGCTGGTGGAGTAGGTTAAGCGTTGGGCCACTAATTGCAGGTCAGTCAGACCATCAATCACTCTGAGGAAGAAAGATGAGTCTTCCCATTCCCCTAAATATTTACAATCTGGAAATCCAAAGAGGCAGTTCTAATGCCCGGTAGAATCATTATGAGTTAGAATTGACTGGAGACATGGCTTAAAGTATACAAGAGGATGTGCATGGGTTATATGCAAACTATGCCATCCTATAGAAGGCATTTGAGGATTTCTGTATCTATGAGCTCCTGGGACCAATCCCCCGTGAATACCAGGGAATGACTACACATTGCTAAAGGCAAGGAAGGGAAGAGAAGGGTCCCTCTTTCACATTCTCTAGGGTCCATGATATAGAATCTGTTATAACGTTTGTCTGAGTCATTCAATAGTCAGAACTCTTTATAAGTTCCAACATTAAGCAGAACGATTCCAAATTCTGTTCCGATAGGCTAAATGATTTCAGAGTTCTCTAATACGCACAACATGACAGGAATGTGTATCAGTCTCTTCATCAAGAAGCATTTATGGGCAGTGAATGTACAAATGCGCTTGACACAATGGATGGATGTAGGAATTGAGATAAGAGTTGTATGAGCCCCTAATAAAATGATTTTTTTAAAAAGAAGCATTTATAACACGTCTCCTCTGGATAATTTATAACGTCTCCTCTATGTGAGGGCGTGGTGCTATAAAGAGAGGTATAAGACACAGTGCCTGGGCTGAGGATGATTGAAATCTGAATGGTGAGCTAGAACCAAACTACACTGACTGCTATCAAGTGGATTATGACTCATAGTGATCCTATAAGCTATTGTAGAACTGCCCCTGTGGGTTTATGGCACTGTAACTATTAATGGGAGTAGAAAGCCTTGTCATTTTCCCACACAGTGTGTGATTTCAAACTACTGACCTTTCAGTTAGCAGCCCAATGTATACCACTATGCAACCCAGGTCCCTGAGCTAGAGCTGACACGTGAAAAGATAACCAAACCTGAACTACACCCATTGCTATCGAGTTGACTCCAACACGGGGCCTCGTGTGTCAGAAGAGAACTGTGATCCACAGAGTTTGTGATGACCGATCCTTTAGAAGCAGATCGCCAGACGTTGCCTTCTAGAAGCCTCCAGGTAAACTCAACCCCCCATCACGCCAAAAGAATTGCAAGTAGGAATGAAAGCAAAACCCTGCAGGCACTAAAGTTCAGTGAAGATTCTTCATAATCGCCCAGAGATGGAAACAACCTAAGTGACCATCCATTGATGACCAGACAGAGAAAATGCAGTACAAACAGACACAGGAAAGGAAGTCTGATGCGACAACATGAAGGAATCCTAAAAACACCATGCTGAGGGAGGTCACAGAAAAACACAAGTATTGTATATAATCCACTGATGTGAAACAGGCTAATGGACTAGTGGTTACAGAGGTAGGAGGAAGGAGGGGAGGGAGGATCCATTGTTTAGGGGATACTTGGGCTCTGCTCATGGTATTAGAACCATTTGGAAACAAGTAGTGGTGATGATTGTACATGGTGAGCAGAATTGATGTCACTGAACTGTCCACATGAAAATCATTAATGTTTCATATATACATATTTTATCACAATAAAAAATTTTAAGACAAAAAAGTTAGTGTATCCTAAATGCATATGAGAGGAGCAAAATATAAAGCTATAGGATTTCTAGCAAGTCTGAAAAATTAGAAAGTCAAAATACAGATGTCCTCGAGTATACCTGAATACCGCCATGCTAATTATGATTCAAGTATACAGATATTTAGCAGATATGAAAACAATACCCCATGCCACAAAGTATATATAGTGGAACACCATCATATTCCATGTCATTAAGAAGAAATCATCCTGAGATTAGACTGATTCTCTAAGAAATGAATTCTTCAAATGGCTCTGGTAACTCACCCCACAGAAAACGACCATCTTGAAACATAGCTCACAAATAAAGTTAAAATATGTGGGCCTAGTTTAAATACATTCCTATACCATTTTTTTCCCAGCACCACAGACTACTGGTGTATAAGAGGATTTATTCATTAGCTTGCTCATTCTCTAGCACAACATCCCTAAGGGTGACTCCTGTCCTATGCTTGGATACTTCCAGTGATGGGCACCTGAAAAACACACGAGGCAGCTGGCTCGGTTTGTCTCTGGGCATTCATTCATTTCACACTATCTAAAAGCAATACACTTCAAAAGAGGTAGACCTGCAATAAGAAAAGAACACATAAGACGTTCTCTAAATAGCCGTAGCATGTCTAGTTTGTGCTAGCATTTCCTTTTGTTCGATGAGATAGTTAAACCACAGTGGTCAGTAAGCCCGTGCAGTGATAGCGTGCCCGTTACGGGGCACTCTCTTCAGGAAACTCACCGGAAACATCAGGGAATGCAAAGAAACCCAGAGCTATATAAAAACGCAGCGAAAAAGGACTTTGGAGAATAGCTGCAGCCTTTTGTTCATCCTGCAGTGAGTGCCTGCAGTCCTTCTTAATGTGAAGAATGTCCCTGTGCAGCAAATGGAAGAGGCCAGTCTTCCAAGCAGCACTCATTTACTGCTGTCAGTGTGTACTACTGCAAAGACACACACATTTGAGGAAAATGTTAAGGCGCTGGGAATTAAACCAAGAAGATCTAGCCGTTCTGTGCTACTGAACCCCAGGAAAGCTAGGTGCTCTAAAGTCGGTTCGGATTCAAACCAACCCTATGTACAACAAAATGGAGCAGTACCGGATCGATTCACCCCATTACCTGTTCTCTCTGTTATCTATGTGCCCCATTATCTATCCACCCCACTACCTGTTTACACCATTATCTACTCACTCCCTTATCTAGTTACCCCATTATCCACCCCATTATCAAGCGTTCTGGGCATACATAGAATCAATTTTTCACACAAACGTAGATTCATGCACAACTAGTTGATTTAAAAAATCATTTTGTTCACTATCAAGATACTAAGGTAGTAGCACTAATCAACCAATTAAATTAGAATTCTTTATATCTACCACCATCACCACCACCAAAGAGGCAAAGCAGGAGTGGGGAAAGGGGTCATTTGGCTCTTACCACCTGGCCAGCTGGTTCTATCCTTGTGGTATCTCTGTAGTACTGCAGAGGGTGGGCTTTCCAACTCACCTGTATTTTGAGAATGACACCGACAAATTCAAACTTGGTGCCCCACATTTAATTCTCCATCATTTGAGTTACCCTTAGGAGGAACATCCCAGGCCCTCAAACCTTCACAGTAGAATTAGAAGGGTGTGGGCTCTGTCCATAGCTGTTGCTCACTGAGTTAACATGGCTACTAGTGGGGGACATAAAGCTGAGTAAGACAGAGGAGGGGACTGGGCAACCCAGTAGCAAGTTCAGAAAAATGCTGAGCCATCCTAACCTTCTACTATGGGTCCTTTCACCGTGTCAACACAGTGCAAATTTACAGGGTTCTGGAGGCATGATGGACAATGAATTCTTGGCCACATTTTTTAAAGCCCCCATTTCAACGTGTTTAGACGTGCATTACTAACCATTTGGCAATACGTGGCAGAGGACTTCTCTTTAGACCCTCCTCTCATGGAGAGGGGAAATATAAGATCAGAAACAGCAGTACAATGTGCACGTGGGGATGAATGAATGGGGGCAGGGCGAGAGTATGAATGAATTGTAGAGCAGATTAGGAGAAAAAGCAGGGACACAACTGGAACAAAGACAGCTGCAAGAAGGGAATGAGGAAGAGCCGCGGTTCATGGGGAATAAATACGATGACTGGGGAGTGAATGCATGAATTCTTGCCATCGTGAGCACCTCTTGGCCAGACCTTCACTTCTCGCAGTGTGGTGACTTCATTTTCTGTTTGAAAGTTGGGACTTTCAGAGAATGGAACCAAACAGCCATCGATACACCACTTCCTCTCAGTCCAAATGGGGAGGCATTGTATGCAAATGAGGGATACTCTTTGGCCTGCGAACCGCTTGAAGGTCAATACTTCAAGCCCACCATCCATTCGAGGGGATTGAAAGACAAGGCTGCCTGCTCCCCCCAAAACGTAGAGTCTAGAAAATCTGGTGAGTTAGTTAATTGTGCCAGCCTGGCCGGTAATCACATGTGGGGCTGGTTGAAAGGCGGAGGGATAAATGGGTGGTGAAGCCTCGCCTTTCTAGTTTTCGGGTCTCTTGCTTTGTGATGGTTGCATCGGGTGCAGCTGCCTTAGCAGTTCCCTGCTTCAGCTTGCAAGATTGACTTCCTACAAGACATCCCCAAGGAGAAGCCGCATGGATCTATCCCGATGCAGCCCTGGGTGCTGGAGCAGCCATGTGGAGACCCCTGCCAGTGCTGAGATGCTTACACGTTCACTGACTCAGCTTTCCTCCTGCAGTCAGCATTATTGCCTCTGTTTTGTGAGGTGAAGAACTTTGTGGACTGGTGTTGGGTATGGGTTAATGTTGGACTTGTGGGCTTGGGCAGCATTGGGTTGGGATGTTTTCGTGATGCACATTTTCTTTGTATAAAACTCTCTCTTATACATGAGTCGCTGTGGATTTGTTTCTCCAAAGTACCCAGACTAATACACCTGGATAGGGTTACGATGATTCAGAATCGACTCGATAGCGGTGGTTTTGTTTGGGGGGTTCTATATAAAAGCACAAAACTTTACTCCTAACAGTCCGGATAAGAAAACAAAGAAAAGACAGATTCTTCCCTGAGCTCAAACTCAGCTTCTTCAGAAAGAGCCAAGAAAGCTGTTTGCTGGCAGGGGAGAAGAGAAGCAGAACAGCAGGGAAGCAAGTGCCCCAAGGGACCGCACCTCTGAACATCCACTACGCCTGCATCTGTCCCAGCAAGGTTTTCCAGGTAACACTGTTTCCCAGGAAATGCATCAACCCACATGCCTGGAAACTGCAAATACATCATTCTGACAAATGTCGGCAAAGTTTGGGCTTACCAAATGAAGGGCACTGCTCGCTGTTAGAAAGTGAACAGACTTGTTCAGGCAGGGATGCCTAAGGTTTGACGATCGGGGTCATCACACATCAGCAATATTGCTTTTATGGGTAAAATCCAGAGCACAGCCTATTGGCTCTTGCTCACCCTCAAATGTTCCAATGTCCCCTAGTTTTTATTCCAAAGCATTCCCAGAAGATGCCTTATTGGCTTATTTCCCAAGAGAATAGGTATAAGATATGTATCAAATATATATATCAATCTGTCGCTGGTTTGTTTCCTGCAGAGCAAGCGACAGGGAATCCAAACCTGATTTAGAAGTCTCGGTCTTGTGAGTATCTGACCCAGATACCATGAAATTCTGTGGACTGCTGAAATTAAAAACAAGCACTGCTGTGACAGAAATGTGGCTGCGAATTTGGTCTGACTCAAAATATCTTGTTGACATGTCAAAATTCAGTATTTCGGGACAATGCGTGTATGGCAAAGTCTAGGCAGCATTCTCATTAGAATTCCAGTGTTCCATTTAACACAGCTAAAAATATAAGTGAATACATATGAGCCAATGAGGAACAAAATTTCCAGGCAAATGTCATCACTAAGTTCTGTTTCTTGTGGGGGGGAGGCTATAGGAAGATATAAAATCTGCCTGACATTCATTTAAAAATAGTCAGTGGGCTTTTGCCGCAAGCAGGGCGGCCTCGCTTGCTTGGAGTGGTCTGACAACTACACCTGAATTCCCTCTGTGAAGAACAAAGCAGAGGATAAGTGAAAATATCTGCAAATGTGTACTACACATTCGACCCTCTCTCGGTTCTCACTTAGCACTGCTCTGAAAATCAGCCACTTTCAGAGAAGAACATGCAGTCTGGCTTAGCCAAGATGCCAGACTGTGTGCAGTGATGTAGAGAAACTCGGAACTAAACTCGGGCTCTGGGTCGCGGGATATGGACGAGATATGGAGAAGAACGCCGAGAGCACAGACCAGAAACTAGGATGGTTTGCTTTGGGGTTGTTGGTTTGGGTTTTGTCCCTCACCCCACCCCCCACCCCCAGTATTTGTATTTTTAACAATAGCCTATCTAACGAGTTTCTGTACTTTTACAGTGAATGTCTAGCTACACACTAGCCAGCCCTTCCACAAAATGCACCCTAAATCCCCAGCTGTTTTAACCTGCTCTCTTTCCTGAACGGGCAAAACAAAACTACCCCAACCCACAAGACAACCGTAGTCAGCCACTTGGGCTCCTGCAGCGGGCAAACCCCACTTACCGATTTTTTCCTCATTTCGAGAGAAAGGCACACAGCAGAGCTGCCCCATGGCCCTGGTGCGGTCGTTCTGGGCCGGGGTTCTTCTCCGCGGGTCCCCCGGAACGAGACTGCAGGGGAGCTGCCTCGGCCTC